GGAAAAAATTTTGGCGGACCCTTACGCGGGTATCACGCAGGGAATGACGCCAACTTTAGGGATTGAGGCCGGCCCGTGCATGTAGATTATGTTCCCGATATTTCAGCCCTGCAGCTTTTATAGGTTTTGAGATGAAAGTACGTGAAAGATGCGCACACAGAAGCGCAGACAGAGAGACGCACAGTCACACAGGCACACGGAGACACAGAGAATCCCTCGTCAATATGCGTTTTTGCGTTGCATAGCTGCAAAAAACGCATAAGAATGTCATATACGGCAGGTTTGGTTAAAAAAAAGATATGACGGTTTTGGTATTTCTTACACATATACATTCAAATATGTATATATTATCATATATTTTTGTGTATATATGTTTTTGTATATGTGCATATGTTACATATATTTTTGTATGTGTATTCTTTTTTATTATGTATGTATATATGTATATATATATATGTATATATATATCTATATGTATTTCTTATATGTATTTTTGTATCTTGTCCGGTATGCGTACGCTCTGTAGTGTTAGGGAATATTATACAAACAGTGGGCCGCCAATTTTTGTTGGCTTTTCGCGGCATCCTCAGTGACAAAGAGAGTTCGATACTGATAGTTCGTGCGCCGTGATACCACCCATACTCAGTATGCCCCTTATTGTGAGTATGCGCAGAAATGACGCAACATACCTCGGGAAATTCTTCAAGCTGCTCCTCGCTGCTTACTTGGTAGGGCACTGTAATTACCGGCTGACTGTCAGAGACTAAATCACTTCGATAATCGTCTGAGGAGGCACTAGCGAACCGAGGTGCCGGGATTCTCCAGTCAGATGGCAATTTGACATCCTGGTACCACCATTCAGCAGATTGTGCAGGCACTTCTGCAGCGTATCTATTCAGCTCATCCTGCACTAACCGAGCCAGAATTGCCAATTCATGATCACTCAGATCTAAAGCAAATACTGACAAAAATATGAATCACTAATACAAAATATGTAACCGAGCGCACCGCAGAGTTTGTATTTCATGCGTTTTTGCTGTGTTTCATGTGCGATACTCAGCAGCAGTGATCATTTAACTCAAGTGGTATCCGAAATCCTTAGGATGTCGCAAGTGGTACTTACAGTAATGGCTATTGTCGCTTTTTATGCGCAGCAGGCAGCAAAAAGGCATGTTGTGCTGTTTGAATGTGTGTATTCGCCTGTCCGGGTATTTCTACTCGGCAAGCTCTGATGAGGGTGTTCGCCCATACGGTCTTAGGAGAATAATGTAAACTTTCAGCGCATTTTTGTTTTACGTACGAATACATGAAAGTTTTGGCGAAAAAATTACCGCGGAAACGAAAAGAGCTGGAGAGCTAAACCCGAGGGGTCAGCATGGTAGACCGACGTCTTGTCACAGGACTGCTGGTACAGTGCGACCAGAAGCGGGGGAATCAAGCCCGGCGTGGTAGATGGGTGTTCTGCCGCTCGTGATACTGCCGGGATTCGATCCCGGGACGCCAGCCCTGCAGGCACCAGTACTGAGGACCAGTGACAGGTAGGCATCTTGTCACTGACCCACCAATGCACCTGTCGCACGTACGGCTAAGTGCAGTTTTCGGCGAGAATATTACGAAATCGGAACGGAAAGCAACTAGGTAATTTTCAATGAATGACCGTTTAACGGAAATTATTCATTTTCCTTTACGCAAAAATCTCCTGTAATTTACGGTGAAGAGTGCACAAGTTAAGGCTAAGCGAAAAACATTTATACAGTTGACGAACTATATTGCACCAAAACTCATAATAGCGCTGGCAAACCAGGTGCGCTGCAACCTGCACTGAATAATAGGATCACATCGAGTAATAAACCTGGGATCATGTTACAGTTGTTGAATCCGGCTTCAAAAGCCACTTTCCGAACATTCATTCTTCTGATTATGCAGTGAATTAAAACAGAAAAACTTTTTCCATATAGTCTGCTGCTGCATCAATTAGTGGATTTTAAGGACACTAATTTGAGCTCGGCTTAACCTCGAAATTGTGCTAATTGAATTTTTTTCTGCAAGGAACTGTTAATCTCTTTTCAGATTGATGCGAAAAATTTAAAAATCGAGACCGTCAATTTGATCGATCAGCAGCGCATCGTAATCATTATCACCATTGTCCACTAGCACATCAACGTCCTCATCACTGTTGTTGTTGTTATCATCTTCACCTTCATTCTCCGCAGCAGTCTCCCTTTTTCTTCGTAGCTTGACAATTGCTCGGCCGAACGGCGGCAAAAGCCTTTTCCCTGTGACCGCTAATCTACCTTTGAATAAACTACAATTAGATTTTTAAGCCAAATATAAACTTATATCTAGTTCAAAATTAATATTTCTA